GAGCAGTGGGTGGGCATCACAGGGTCAGCCCTTAAATGGTTTGGGTCCTACCTCTCTGACAGAACCTTCTGTGTCAATATCAAAGATTTTAGTTCGGCATCGACAGCACTCCAGTGGGGGGTAACGCAGGGGTCCATCCTCGGTCCCCTTCTCTTTTCTTTATACCTGCTGCCACTAGGTGCTATTTTCCGCAAACACAACATACCCTTTCACTTTTACGCCAACGATTGCCAAATTTACTTCCCCCTGAGGCACAGAGGCACACGCTCTATTCAGCCTCTTCTTGACTGCCTGGCTGACATCCGGGACTGGATGGCTTTAAACTTCTTAAGCTTCGATGAGAAGAAGTCTGAAGTCAATCTGAAGTCATGCTGTTCCATCCCAGTGGCTCACTCATGAACCATGACATTGACCTTTTCTCTCTAGCCCCGCTAGAGAAACAAAAGGTCACTAATCTGGGGGGTGATAATGGACCCGTCCTTAAAACTCAACAGTCACGTAAACATGACAATCAAATCCTGTTTTTTTCAGCTGAGACGGCTGTCTAAGCTGAAACCTATACTCTCCAAAAAGAACCTTGAGACAGTGATCCACGCCTTCATAACATCTAGGCTTGATTACTGCAATTCACTTCTGTTTGGAATCAGTCAGTCCTCCATTGCTCGTCTTCAACTGGTCCAAAATGCTGCAGCCCGATTTTTAACTGGTACAGGCTATAGAAAGCACATCACGCCAGTTTTGGCCTCCCTGCACTGGCTACCCATTCACCTTCGGATCCAATTCAAAATTCTCATGTATGTTTTTAAATCACTGAACAGTTCCGCTCCATCCTATCTCACTGATCTTCTGCAGCCATATGTCCCACCAAGCTCTCTGAGGTCAGCAGACCAGATGCTTCTCTCAGTCCCAGAAACCCGTTGTAAGCTCAGAGGTGACAGGGCTTTCTCTGTTGCAGGTCCACGACTGTGGAATGAGTTGCCACTGAGTGTCCGGCAGGCTCCCACACTCTCAGTCTTTAAGTCTCGCTTGAAGACCCACTTCTATTCGCTTGCCTTTAACACGTTGTGATTTGTTTTGGTCCTGTCTGTACTCTACACTGTTGGCCATTTTAGTTAGCTTCTGCTGCTATTTGTATCTGTATTTTTATTTTGTTTTCCTGTCCGCTGTGCATGTTTGTTTTCTCTTGTACAGCACTTTGGTTGGCCTTGTTGCTGTTTTAAGTGCTCTATAAATAAATTGGTATGGTATATATACATGAGTATATATATATATATATATATATATATATATATATATATATATATATTAATATATATATAATTAATATATATATATATATATAACAATAATATATATATTATAATTTTCTTGTAATTTTCAAATCATGTTTTTTTTATGATTGTCTACTGTTGTACTGATAAATATCTCCTGGAGGGTAAACTATATCTTGGGTGCAAGTATCAAGCTGTGAAATGCTTCGTTTTCTACAACAGATAGTGGTTGGTCATTAATTACGATGAAGTTTAGCAACTTCTCGGTAAACATTTGAGCTCCGGGGCTTCAGCGATGTCTTCTTCTTGTTCAGTCCGCAGCAGGCAGTCTGATTTCGGTCAGCCGCACTCAGTCTGTCCCTCCTCAGAGACGGACAGACTGAACGGGGCAAATTGGACGCGGCTGGCCGGGGTCAGGCTGCCTGCTACAGGTTCAGCGAGAGGAGCAGACGCTGAATCCCTGGAGCTCGAATGTCCAACATAAAACTAACTTTCCCGCGGTTTAATGTGGCGCTATGGCTCTGCAGACATTGCACGCTGCTGTCTTGCTTTGTGGTGTTTCTAGTGTAAAATACTTCCACACAGTGGACATGTTTAGATGAAAAGTTTGTTAGCTGTTAGCCACAGTGCTGCTAACTCAGTCCTCACGTTGTAGCTGGCTGCAAACTATGAAATGGATTTCCTGAATGTGAGGTGGGTCTTATTACTCTGGGTTCATGAGACATGCCGCTGTTCAGGAAATCCATTTTATAGTTTGAAGCCAACTTGTATCATGGATCGGAAATCTCTGCAGGTTGGATCGGAAAAATCTGATACGTAAATGATGCTTGTATCGGAGGCCGATACTGATACCGGATCAGCCCCATCCCTAATATATATATATATAGTGTGTGTGTGTGTGTATATATATATATATATATATATATATATATATATAAACACAAAAGTAATATAAAAATTACAGGAACACACACTCAGATCTCAACCACACCCTATTCTCACCTTTATGCCTTTTGTTATCCGGTGTGGAAACTGATAAAGGGTCCACTTTAGGAACGTCGCTGCTGAAGATTTCAGAAGCTACATTATTAGATGATGGAGTGAAGGTGACCCTCTGTTAGAACCAGATTAAAAGTAAAAATCTGAGCCAAGAACACTGCATAACAATTTGCTTCCATTTTATATGCACTCTAATTCCTTACTGTGGTGTAGTTGGTCCTGAGGTGCTCCATGGTGAGGTAATTCCTGTAGAAGTGACTCTGTGTCAGGTCCTCCACAATCACAACGTTGACACATTTGACCCTTTTCTGATGGTGAAGACGGCACCAGCTGGTGGGGGGACAAGGACACGGACAGACACAGTTCAAAGTTACATCCACAGACTGGAGTTCTGACTCTGAACCACAGAGTAACAGGAAATGACACCTGTCATTACCTGGGCTGTTTGGCTACTTCCCCTAGAGCAGCAAAATGCAACAGCTCTGTCAGCTCGCTCAGTGTGATGGGTTGTTGCAGTCGGTGGAGCTGCATGGAGAGCCTGGGGGAACCAGAGGGTCTCTCCTGCAGTGCTTCATTGCCTTCCTGCTCAGCCTTTATTCTTTTGACGCTGCTGTGTTCTGTGGGCTCGTTCCTCTTTCGTTTGTTTTTGCAGCCTGTCTCTGCTACAGAGGACTCCATGCTTCTGTGAAGTAAAACATTTGAAAGAGCATGATCATGCTGCATAGTTTGAAAGTATGTGCAAACATAGACACTAATTTCTACTCGAGATGAGTATCAATCATGTGTATCATGCGTACTGTGTATTGACTTCTTACAAAAGTGTCAGGAAATGATCAACAACAAAAAAAAACAAGTACTTACTGTTGATAATGCCTAGTTTAGCAATGTTTAAAATTGGTTGTTTAAAGCCAAAAGTAACTACAAGCAGAAACATAATTCAAGTCCATGTTGCATGAATCGTGACGTAGCTGAGCCTAATGCAGTATTCTAACCATACACCTATGTTAAAGAAGAGCAACGCTCTTAAACCAAGCAATATGGTATATTTATTTATTGAATTCTCGGTTTAAAGTGGAATATCTCACCGCCGGTCAATATTTTGTTAGCTATCATCAGTACTATAATCAAAAACTTTCAAGAGTTTACGCAAAACACACACGTTTAAAACTTAAGACAGATAAATACGCTTAAAAATAATTCTGAACGTAAAATGACTCGTATTCATCTTCACTAACGTGCTTCTAACAGGTATCAAGTTAGTTTCCATTCATATTGTCGAAGCACGTCGTTTCATCGTGATGCGTAGAGTAAAAAGACGCCGGCAATACTTCCGTTTAGTGGCTTTAAAAATAAAACTGACGTTTCTTGTAACTATTCTAACAATAGAAAATGTGTGGATATTAAGTAATATTTGATCATATTTTTCTTTTAATGAGCTTTATAAATGTATGCGTGTCTTCTGTTAGTGTATTTATACGTTTTGCGGGTAAAAACAAAGTTTAGTCGAGCACAATGTGCTTTTACATTGAAATAAATTCTACAACCGGAAACGACACCTTTATTCAACTCGTTTGTTCATCTGTAATTCTGCGTTCGACTTTAAAGACTGACAGAGCTGATTAATCGAGTTTATGCTTTTAAAAAATAGCGCTATTTTTTCAGTTTTAACTTTTTGAGCTTATCGGTCAAAGTACGTGGTACTTCAGCAGTTTTCTTTCAAAATAGAAGCAACATTTCATTCTGTTAATTCAGCTAGCAGACATGGCCACGAAACAGCTGGCGAAGTAAGTGAATTGTGCAAAGGTTAGAAAAGTGCTTCGTATTGTGTGAATATATTTACATCTTTAGTGCAGGCATTTATTGTGAGTTTTGTTCATTCGAGTCACGAGTACTAATTAGTTTATGCAGTGAACACTAACATACAGTAGTTTATTGTAAATGTTTAGACTGGAAGTTCAGCTTTTAATTACAAAAACATGTTAAGTTTCTGAAAGCATTGATTTAACTCCACAGGAAATTAAAATTACTGCGGCAGCGAAGCCAGAGCTCCTCTGAGTCGAAGAAATTAGTGATAACAAGTGGGTGAGATAATTTCAAGTTTAAGTTTCTAACTACACCAGTGCATTTCCACTGGAGAGCTAAGATGATTTTCTTTCAGATCAGATCTTTTCATACTTGATTGTGATTGACTTTGAATCCACGTGCTGGAGAGACAAAAATAACTACGCTCAGGAAATTAGTAAGTTTCATATTTTATCATTTGATTTTTCCATCTTTAATGTAACCTTCTGTTTCTTCTCTCCCCCTCGCTGCAGTTGAGTTTCCAGCTGTTTTTTTGAACACATCCACAGGGGAGGTCGAATCTGAATTTCATACTTATGTTCAACCCCAGGAACACCCCACCTTGTCTGAATTCTGTACTGAGCTGACAGGGATTACACAGGTTTGTGTGCTTGAGCAAAATCTTTTCATTTCAGCGACAATTGATGGATACCCCTGACAACTTACTTTCTATTTCTGGCAGGTGCAAGTGGAGACAGGAATTCCCCTTCAGATCTGTCTCTCACAGTTCAACCGCTGGCTCCAGCGCTTACAACTTGAGAAGGGAGTGACATTCCCCAGCAAACAACAAGCATGTTCAGCCACCTTCCCCTCCCAGAAACTGTGCACTTTCCTCACCTGGTCAGGTAAAACTCGTTTGTATTGGTCTATATGCCTATGGTCAACGTCGCCACAAATTATTAGCAGAAGAAATCTGACTTGAAAAGAGTCTGACAAGGTTTAAAAGTATCACCTATACTTGTGTAATTATTAAAACTATATATGTTTTAACTTAAACACAGTTTTATGTGAATTAATTTGCTTTGCATTATAGACTGGGATCTTGGCGTTTGTTTGCAGTATGAGTGTAAACGCAAACAGCTTAATAAACCTGACGTTCTCAACAGCTGGGTAGACCTGAGAAGCACATACAGGGTGAGGAATGAGTTGCTTTGTCTTTCAGGCTGCTTTTTGTCTATATTTTTTTAGATTATTCACTATTTAAAACACTAATAAATAATCAAATACTGTACTGTAAAGTCAACAGAGACAGCAGTAACACATTTGTTTATCTAAATATGCTTAAAAAAATCGGAATCTTTTTTTTAATAAAACAAGAAAAAGGATGAAATATTGTCCTTAAAATATTACAAATGTGAAATATTTGTTATTTTTGACTAAAAATTAATTGCATTGACAGCTAAATCTGTGCATGTAGTTGTGTTTAACTTGTTTTCTTTATCTCCAGCTCTTCTACAACAAGAAGCCCAAAGGTCTGAATGGGGCACTTCAAGATCTAGGGATACAGTTTTCTGGGAGAGAGCATTCCGGTACCTTTTTTTTTTTCCTTTTTGACAAAGTCTTAGCGGCCACTTCAGTACAGCTTGAGTCTGTAACGGCACCACTTTAAGAAATCCACCACTGGTTGTGCTCAAGCGCCTACTCAGGAACTTAATGAACTGCGTGCGTGACCTGGCACTTGTACAATGGCAGATGAATGGCGTTGTTCCTGATGTTGACGATTCCTGGTTGTTCTTTATAACGTCATTCACCAACATCCTAAGCAAACACCCTTAAAAATCCTCGGAATTAAAAGCTATCTCAGTCCCTGGTTCAACTCTGACCTTTCCAAGCTTATTCAACATAAACATCATCTGTGGTGAAGCGCGAAGGCGTCTAATACTACATGTGATTGGCATACAAGGCAGCTAGAAACAAATGTATCCAGTCCATAAGAAAATAAAAAATTATCACATTTACCATCTGTAATCAAACTGATGATATTGTTGTCATAGACAAAGCCACAAATGGTGTATTACTTCAACAAGTACTTTGCTAAAAGTGGTTGTGTAAATGATAAAACTCCAAATTCTTTTAACAAATTCTCCAACATCACAAACTGAATCACGCCCACCTGGTTCAAGACACTCCCTTCCCTTCACGTTTCGGCTCATACATGAGTCTGAGGTACTGAATGAGCTACTCTGTCTGGACACCAACAAACCAGCTGGAATGGATGAGGTTGATCCTTTCTTTTTGAAAACAGGTGCTCACGTCATCTCGACCTCCATCTGTGGCTTCTTCAGTCTATCGCTACAAACCAGAGTGCTCTCCCAGGAATGGAAATCCACTGCAGTCATCCCCATGTTCAAAGGAGGTGACAATGCTGACTTAAGCTGCTACAGAGTACAGACCCATCTCCATCCTGCCATGTGTCTCAAAATCCTTGAGAAGATAATCAACAAACGGCTTATTGAGCATCTGGAAATGCTCAGTGTTCTCAACCCTCTACAGTTAGGCTTTAGATCAGGGCACAGTTGTATCACCACCACACATAAGGTTGTGAATGACATTGTTTGTGTGATTGATAAGAGTTCTGTGCTTCTGTCTTCTTCAACCCAGCTAAGGCCTTTGATTCTGTAGACACCTCCATCTTGCTGGGAAGGCTATGAGACATCCTTCTGTCAGAGAGTTGCATAGCTTGGTTCAAAAGCTACTTTTCTGGGCGGACGTAATCAATGAGGGTGGAGGGTCACCTGTCAGACCTGCTACCCATCAGCAAAGGCGTTCCCCAAGGCTCCATAGTTGGGCCAACCTTTTTCAGCATATACATCAACAATGTAACAAATTCTGTGAACAATTACGTTCTCGCACATCTGTATGCTGATGACACTATTATGTGTACCTCGCTTAACTCTGCTCTCTCTGCACTACAAATTAGTTTTCAGTAACACTGAGCATGCTTTTTCTAATAATTTAAAACTGAGGGAGGTTTCTGTTAAAGTTCATGCTTTTTTCCCCCCAGAGTGTTCAAACAGTCTGCCCTCAGAAAATCCTCTCCTTGGATGGCTCCAAGATCCAGTTCTCTAGCAGCTACAAGTATCTAGGGATTTGGCCCAATTCCTCACTCTCATACAAAACTCACTTTACCACTCTGCTCTCCAAAGTCAAATCCGTAGTAGGGTTCCTCTTCTGAAATATATCCTCACTAACTCAACCTGCTAAACATCTTCTGGTAAAAATGACAATCCTTCCGATGTTCATCTATGGTGACGTCATCTGCAGAACCACTTCCAAATCTCTCCTCCACAATCGACACCCTTTACCACTCAGCCATTAGATTTGCCACCGGAGCACTTTTCAGTACTCATCACTGCACTCTGTATTCTCTGGTGAACTGGCCCCCTTTTCACTCCCACAGACAAACGGGTTTCTGCTATCTATAAAACCCTAACTGGTAAATCCCCATCCTACCTCCATTCATTACTCAATATCCGTAGCAACATACCTTCTACTCCAGCAGCTGCATTACCCTATTAATCCCTAAACCAGTCGTTCATCATTTCAGTTTTCTGCTGCTAACGAGTGGAACTATCTACAAACTCTAAAACTTACTTCTTTTGTCCCATTCGCATTGTTTAACAACTCTGTGAAAGCATCACTTGATGACCACTGCACATGCTTTTAGCTATTTCTTCCTCAATCTCTGTTGTTACTGTCTTGTGCCATGAAACTTGTCCTAGTTCTTTGTTATCATAGTCTGTACAACTTAACGTTTGCTTTTCAGGTGTTCATATGTTGTCCATCTGGAGTTCTCCCACTCCCTGACCTCTTGGCCAGGTCATCATTGTAAATGAGAATTTGTTCTCAACTCACTAACCTGGTTAAATATAGGTTGAATAAAATTAAAAAAATATTGAGTGAAAATTCTCTAGTCTAGATACTTCTGCATATTAATTACCCTAACCATCTCTTTTCACATTTCCTAGTTTGTTTCTCTTGTAAATGAGTCCTCGAGACTCAATGAGACTAACCTGTATAAATAAAGGTTGAATGAACGAATGTTTCCACTTCAGGTTTGGACGATGCTCGAAACACCGCTCGGCTGGCAGTGCGAATGATGCAGGACAGATGCGTAATAAAGATCACTCGGAGCCTGGAGAGGGTGAGTGGCCACCCAACAACGTCCTTAAAGAGCCTCCACTCCTGAAATCCCACCTGAGATTTTTAAGCATGTATCTTGCACAACGCAAATAATTTTATTTGTAATTTTTTTTTCTTAATCTTGTAATTTCACCTTTCCAAGTGTATACAAATAAATTCACTAAATAAATTGACCATCACTAATGAACAATAATCTCTCTGCTTTTTACAATACAATGCAATATATAATAGTTTTATTGAGTTTTAATTGTTACTTTCGAGAACTTGTGCATGAGAAGAATATTTTAAGATAAAAACTGCATTTATTTCAGAAAAATCTTGTCCCACCTGTGAAGCACAAGGATGTGACACTTGTGGGTTTACAATCTTGACTCCAGTGAGTAATTGGCTCAGAATGGACTATAGCATGTACAACAGAAATAATGTAATACTAGAGAGATTGTATTTCCTGCAAAAATGCAGTGTGAATGCTTATTGCAGAAAAACTTGCTAAAAAACAGCTGAAAACATGCTGAAATGGAAGAACAAGCCTAAGTTTGCAGAAGAAAGCAGAAAGAAGACATATTTGCTGAATTTGGTTTACATAAGCAGAAATGAGAACAAAAATTAGTAAGTTTGCTAAAAAAAAAAAAAAAAGGTGAAATTAGCAAAAAAATTTGCTGAAAAGGAAGAAAGAAGCTTACATTACCTGAAGGAAGTGACGAGAGCACGTTTGCCCAATTAGGTTGAAAAAAGCAGAAATTAGCACAAAACTGGAAATTATCTGAAAAAAGCAGAAATATGTAAAAAATAAATAAATAAATAAAAAACAGTTGAAAAGTAGCTAAAAAAAAAAAGCAGAAAGCTTAAATTACCAAAATGAAGTGGAGAGCTCATGTTTGCTGAATTAAGCTGAAAAAAGTTTAAATTAGTGCAAAAATGTGGAATTAGCTGATAAAGCTCAAATTAGCATAAAACGGCTATATAGTAGCTGAAATAGCAGAAATGGTTGAAACTTGCAGAAATAAGCTGAAAGGAGCATAACAAGCAGAAATTATCAAAAACAAATTTAGAAGAAGCTCAAAAATGTTTAAGTTAGCAACGTAAAGCAGAAAGGTGCACAAAACAGCTGAAAGAAGCTGAACCAGAACAAACTGAAAGGAGCAGTAAAAGATTGTAAACAGATCTAAAGAGCTGAAGGATGTAAAATGAACTTAGTTCATTTTCTATGAGACAAAAATGACAGAAAAGGCTAAATATTTCAAAAAGCTAAAGTTACACCAATACCAAAAGTCATAGCAGGAGTGTCCTGAAAGAGCTGAATGTTTTGATATACTGTACATGTACTGTATGAGTTGTTGAAATAGCACAAAAATTGTGGACCGAGAAAGATGCTGAAAAACGTGTGGAATAGTTTAAAGAACCCAGAATAATAAATATAAACAGGAACACAATATTAGTTCAAATATAGTTGATTATGAGCTCCATTTTTTGATGACTAATAAGAGATTTCTTGTACTTCTCATAGACCCCAGTGACACCCAAAGCCATATTTGGAAACGACATTCATCCTGACGAAAACAAGAAAAAAAAACTGAATATTAAAGAAAAGGAAAATATGTGCACCGGCGAACCCTTATCATCCAACATTCTTTTCAAAGATGGTCGAAAAGGCCACTGTTCAAAGAACATTCCAAGAAATTTAGACACAAAACAAAATTCAAGTTCACTTCCAGCGTATCAGAGTTTGATCTCGCCTAAGACACTGCTGAATAACTCCAAAGAGCCATTTTGGGTACAAAACAGCACAGACACCGCACAGACTGCTGCTAGCCTTTCGCCCACACTTACAGTGAACGGCAGTCATGTTCTGTGCTCCACTACCGTCAGCTGTTTTTCACATCTGCCTGAGCCAAACCAGGCCTTGCAAACAGGCCTGCTGGATGAGGATGAAGGTACAGAACTTTTAGTTGAAACAGAGGAGAGGGGCAGCTCGTATGATGACGTGCTGCTGGAGTGGGATGATGCCATTAATGAAACGGACAAACTGGGGGATCCTGAGTACGTATCGGATTTCGACAGTGGATGTTATGAGTGCGACGATCATTCATGTTCAGAGGATAACGTCACACTAGAAGACAATGTAACAGGACATACCAGTACAAGACACAACTCCAGAATGCAGAATAATGCAGAGGAGTCATCGTTAATCTCTAAATCTATAAGGATATCAAAATCCCATGTTAATGTTTCTGATCATGCAAAAGACACGACGCAGCATTCAACAACGTCTGAGACAGAAACCAGCTTTGCTGTGCCTCAAGTGGTTGACTGGAGTAAATTAAATCAAAGCAAAACGAGACAAATAACATCTCCAGAACTTCAGCTATCGTTAGGTAGACCGTGTAAAAGTGTTCAAACAAACCTTGTCTCATCAGTCTGGTCTAAGACTTTTTGGCCAGAAAAGACGTCCACTCCAAATACTTCCACCCCCAGGCATAAACCAACCATCACAAAACGCACTGAACCTCTGAAGTCACCCTTTACCGTCTACACAGAGCCAGAAAGGCAGGTCACCCACCCCTCGTCATTTGACTCTGGGCAAATTCTCAACAATGTCCTTTCCAGTTTGTCACCCAACACGTTCTACGCCAGTCATAAAGGACCACAAAAGGTCACCTCCCCGCTGTGCGCATGTGGCCGTCGAGCAAAACGCCAAGTCGTGACAAACGGTGGTCCAAACCACGGGCGGGGTTTTTACTGTTGTCCAGTTCGTTGCACGGGTGGCAGAGGCCGCACGGAGAAGAGATGCGAGTTTTTTAAGTGGGAGTCAGCTCTGATGAAGAGCAGCTCTGTGGAGACGTCTTCCAGATCCCTCTGTCTGATCAACTCTACTTTCCCCCACCGGGCTCCGCCGAGAAAAAGCTACTGAGCAGTTGTAGAAGAAGCCACACTTTGATATCTCTGGTCTGATTTTAAATTGGATTCCCAGATTGGATCAGCTGCTGTTGGAGGTACTGAGGTCCAAACAGAGGCTCAGAGGGAACAGAGTTTTTTCTATAGCCGATACAAGATTTTAGAACGATCTGCCACGTCCCATCAGATGAGCCCCTTCACTGTCCATTTTTAAAACTCTTTTTACAACGCATTTTTATTCCCTGGCTTTTGGCACAGCCTGAAATTTGCTCTGCACTAGAGGATGACACAGGAGTGGATTTTCACTCCTGTCCTGGTCCCACAGGAAAAAAATCCTGTCCTGTCCCAATCCTGGTCCAGAGTAAAAAAAAAATCAATCCTGTCCTGTCCCACTCCTGGTAACATGACTCCTGCTCCTGTTCAGAATCACTCCCACTCCTGTCCTGCTCCTGTTTTTCATTTAATTTTTTTCTGCACTTCTGTTTTTATTGCTCTTACTGTTTATTCTTTTCTTCTTGCCAGAGGGTTGGGGTCCCCTGAGCACAACATGGTTAACTATAGTTCTTATGGCACTTAAGTGGGCCATGACTTGAAAGTTCAGAGAGTACCTGCTTGATCATAAGTGCATTGAATATACAGACAATAACGTTTAACGTCCATTAGACCAGGGGTGTCAAACTCACAAAAGGGGCCAAAATTAAAACTTTTTTCAAACTAAAGGCTGGTTTCAGAATCTACACTAACTCAAGTTCGATACCCAACATCGTTTCTTGGTTGCTGGTTCCTCAACAAGAGTTTGATTGGTCTCATTTCACATTCTCTGTTGCACTTTTGACATCATAATCAAAGATTACTGAAAAAATGTAAAATGATAAAAGTATTTTATATTTAACATCTTGGGGGGCCAGATAAGATGTTAAGGAGGGCCACATTTGGCCCCCAGGCCTTGAGTTTGACACACATGCATTAGACCGTTTTGCACTTTGTGCCTCCCAACTCAGCTACCAGCTTATGGAATGGGGCAGCCAACTTGGCAAAACTTTTCACAAACCATCGGTAGTAACTCGCAAAACCTAGGAATGACCTAAACTTGAAGACGGTTGTGGGGGTCGGCCAATTGGTCACCACTTCCACTTTGTTAGGGTCTGTGGAAAAACACCCTTATCTGAGATCACATGCCCCAAGTAGTGCACCTCCTGCTGAAAGAAAGCACACTTTGATGGTTTTAACTTAGCGTCCTCTTTCTGCAGGCACTCTTGTCAACATCATCCCAGATCACAAGATCTGGAAGCAGTCCAACATTTTTCAGTCAGGTCATCTGGACAGTTTTTTTTTTTTTTTTTTTTTTTTTGTGCTGAAACGTTTTGCCTTCGGTCCGGAAGGCTTCATCAGTCAAGGAAACGCACAACAAAAGTGATTCTTCCCCCAACAGCTTACTCCAAAGTGGAACACACTTTGGAGTAAGCTTTAACTTTAATACCATCTTATCACAAGCAGAACTGGTTTGTTCCACATTGGAGTAAGCTGTTGGGGGAAGAATCAGTTTTGTTGCGTTTCCTTGACTGATGAACCTTCCAGACCGAAGGCGAAACGTTTCAGCACAAAAAAAAAGAAACTGTTCAGATGACCTGACTGAAAAATGTTGGATTGTATACCTGGATTAAAAAAAGCCACTGACCTTTGTGCCCTCCATCAAGCTAACCCCATCTTACGTGAGATTTTGGTCTTATGGGATCAGAAGTAGCGTCCTAATCATGAGGAACTAAAACATCTGTCTAAACCTGCGTTAATTTTGCTGAGGAGGTGGGACCGTTTAAATGTTCTTGATTTTACATGTACAGCACTTTGTTGCAGCTGTAGTTGTTTTAAAATGCTTTTTATATAAAAGTAGTAGTAATAGTAGTATAACATTTTTAGCTCTGAATATAATTTCCATGATTTTTTTTATTTGTTCCTAAAAGTATAGTTTTGTGTAACGAAAGATAAAGGATAGACTTTTGTTTTATTCTGGTTTTAAAGTTTGAGTTCACAAAATAAGCCTTTAGTAAAGAGCAAAATGTTTTAAAACTGAAAATGAAATGTTTTATTCTACTTTACAAGTATATTTATTGACAAAAATAAATTATTGCATTATATACTGTATGTATTTATATTATATATCAGTTCTTTAAAATATGTTGGGCTTGTGCTCCATGCTGGCAAAATGAATCAGCAGCACGATGGATTAGTGGTTAGCGCTGTTGTCACACAGTGAGAAGGTCCTGCGTTCAGTACCCGGATTGGACCTGGGATCTTTCTGTGTGGAGTTTGCATGTCCTCCTCGAGTTTGCTTAGGTTTTCTCCAAAACGTGCATGTTAGGCTGCCTTGGAGGCCTCCCATGCAAAATATCTGCAATCTCAATGGGATTAGCCTGGTTAAATAAAGGTTAATGCAGTGCAAAAGAAGTAAAAATAGATTTTTGCCATAATTGAGTTTTGCGTAAAAATGAGTCCGTAAAGACATCATCTAGCACAAGTCACTAAAATAGCACAAAGTCTTCATAATGTACCTTTAAATCTAACCAGTATGTCTTCAGAAAAAAAATCCTTTAACTCTTATTTTCTTTGAAATTGACAATTTTTCTCTGCCAGCGTTTGTACTGCCAGCAGATCTTTTCGTATGTTTGTTGTCACTGTGAAGCTTAGGCATTCTCCTTTTTATTATAGGCCTGTCAAAAGACTGACGTATTATGATATAGTCTCCATACATAAACTTTCTCTTGTCCTGCCCATAACTTCTGATCTGCTCAAGATAATTCAACGACACTTGATATGCATTTGTGCCACCACCGCTAGACAGCGTGTTGCATTTTTTTTTTTATTACCCGAGCTTTAAGCTCAAGGTCACAAATTAAGGTCGAAGGATATAAAAGGCCTTTGCTTGTTCGGGCCATAACTTCTGATCTGCTGAAGATAATGTAATGAAACTTGTACCCTTCAGATTTATTTTACTGAACTTGATACAACTGAGTGCTATCCCTGAATTAAAATGTCATGAACAATATTTGTTGCTTTGTATTTTCCAGTTTTAATAATTCAATAGATTTGTGATCATTATGTGGCTTTGGCCATTCAAAAATTCAGAAGTGATCTCCAATGAATCTATGATTCATTGGAGAAGGATTTTTTTGTTGTTGTTGGTAATGTGATAAATGTTGCAGCTGCTGTGTGGCCACAAAACTCCCATTTGTTTCTAAACTACTGGAGAAAATAGTCGAGTCCCAGTTGAAGTGCTTCCTGGAGGATCACGCCATCTTAGAGCTTTTCCAATCTGGCTTTAAACCTGTCCACAGTCCTGAAATTGCCCTGCTAAAGGTCTTTAACGACATCTTCAGATCCACAGATACCGGTGATTCTGTGCTGCTTGTCCTGTTGGACCTCACAGCCGTCTTTGACACCATCGACCATGACATCCTCATTGCTAGGTTGGAGCAGTGGGTGGGCGTCACAGGATCAGCCCTCAATTGGTTCAGATCTTACCTCACTGACAGATCCTTTTGTGTCTCCATCAAGGATTTTAGTTCCGCAGAGGCAGAGCTTAAATGGGGGGTTCCGCAGGGGTCCGTACTGGGTCCCCTCCTATTCTCTTTATACCTGCTGCCGCTTGGTGCTATTTTCCGGAAACACAACATGCCCTTCCACTTCTATGCCGATGACTGTCAAATTTACTTCCCCCTAAGACACAATGGTACATGCTCTATTCAACCGCTGCTCAACTGCCTGGCTGACATCAGGGACTGGATGGCTTTAAATTCCTTAAGTTTCAATGAAAAGAAGTCTGAAGTCATGTTGTTCCCTCCCAACGACACGATCACAAACCACTGCATCGACCTTTCCACTCTAACCCTGTCAGAAAAACAAAGAGTCACTAATCTGGGAGTGATAATGGACCCTTCCCTGAAGCTTAACAATCATGTAAACATGATTGTTAAGTCATGCTTCTTCCAACTGAGGCGACTGTCTAAACTGAAGCCCATATTGTCCAAAAATAACCTGGAGACAGCAATACATGCATTCATTACATCTAGGCTTGATTACTGCAATTCACTCCTGTTTGGTATCAGTCAGACCTCCATTGCACGACTACAACTGGTCCAGAATGCAGCAGCCCGATTTTTAACCAGTACAGGCAAAAGAGAGCACATTACACCAGTTTTGGCCTCACTGCACTGGTTACCGGTTCACTTTCGAATCCAGTTCAAAATACTCATGTATGTCTACAAATCACTGAACAGTGTCAACCCCCCCCCCCCCCCCCCATCTCTCTGATTTGCTACAACCGTATGTCCCACCACGCTCCCCGAGGTCAGTGGACCAGTTGCTCCTCACAGTTCCAGGAACTCGTCTTAAGCGCAGAGGTGACAGGGCCTTCTCTGTAGCAGGACCAAGACTCTGGAACGAGTTACCTCTGCTTGTCAGACTGGCCCCCTCCCTCTCGGTTTTCAAGTCCTGTTTAAAAACTCACTACTATTCAATAGCTTTCAACACCAGATGATCTGTGTTTTTATCCTGTATGCTCCACACTGGTTTGTTGTCACTATCTGCATCGTTTTTTGTCAATATTCTGATTTACCTCATTTTGTATTTTGCTTTGTGTGTTGCCTGTTGTTTTGTCTGTACAGCACTTTGGTTGGCCTTGTTGCTGTTTTAAGTGCTTTATAAATAAAGTGGTATGGTATGGTATGTTAAAATAATCATTAAACACAAAAAGCAAAAGCTTGCTTTTTTTTCATTCCACTGTCACTATGACAAAAATGTTACCTAAAATTCATATTGATTGGCCATTGCTATAGATTGCTGTATAATAATTTGTCGATGGACATGTAATTTGCTGTATGTTGTACTCTTGTAATTTGAAAGTAATAACACAGTGTTGAAAAAATGTCAGGTCCGAGCTCAAATCGTGGCAGCGGCACTCATAGTGCCACTTCCAGTGTCAGGTGCCATGCTGCATCCGGCTTCACTGGCAGCTGCACTGGCAGCTGCCATGAATTTACTGGCATCTGCCAGGGATTTACTGGCAGCTGCCAGAGATTTAGTAACAGATGACATGGTTTCTATAGATTTTTTTAATATTTTTTTTTACCTGCCACAAATTTAAGTTTAATTTAAAAAAGCGACCTGTTCTGGCAAAATTAGTCAGAAAATTTTTGAGACAGCAGGCTAAAATCGTGGCAGCAGCACTCATAGTGGTACTTCCAGTGTCAGGTGACACGCTGCATCTGGCTTCACTGGCACCTGCCACAAATTTACTGGCACCTGCTGTGAATTTACTGGCAGCTGCCAGGGATTTACTGGCACCTGTAAAAAAAATTATTTATATATATAAAAAGAGAGATACAGAAACAATTTTAGCCTGCTGTCTCAAAAATTTTCT